AAAACTTGCACTATCTAATAATTATTAGAAGAATTTTTTTGTAAGACGCTAAAATGCAGGATTAAAAGCCAGTACGATGTACGTAATAGCCAATCAGATACGAGGATCGATGTGTGGATTATTCTAGAGCTTGATTTCCTAATTAGGAATATCGGCAGACTGTAATAACTAGCATGAAGACAAACAACATAAGCCATTTAATAATATAGATTAATTAGACATGTTCTTAATTATGTTCCTGTAAAAGTAATAAAGCTTTGAAATGTTTTAATGTTAAATTATAATGAAGTCTGCATTTATTGCATTAAATACAGTAATTATTTAATTTCTAATGCTAATTTAACGCTTAAAACAGTATCAACAAGATCCTCAGGGTCAAAGTCCATATTAGTATCACCTTTAATATTTGAATCTGCAATATCAGTAGAAAGTTCAAATTGCACGATTTCTCTATCTTGAAATATGGGATCCTGCAAATTTATAAAGTCTTCTAAAAGTATATTAGTTTGAAATAATGAATTTGAGCTTTCCTCATACATATCATCATTATTTCTACTTAGTTCTTCCTCATTTATAATATTATCATCAATCGTTGCAATGTTTACCATTTCACGTAATTTGAATTCAGTTAACTCAGCATCAAAGTAAGTAAGTTCACTTCGTATATTCACCATGTGGTAAGACCTAATTGTGGCCATTCCTTCAAGCTTTTCAACTTCAAGGCATATTCGTTTATCTCCAATGAACCATTTAAGGGTTGAAAAGTTTCTCTCACAGTTAGCTTGAGAAGGTGAGATACTGAAAAGTCTTTGTGCAAGTTCAGAAAGATGATTAGAATGACTTCTTATAGACCCCCACCACAACATAGGTGTATCTAATCCTTGAATATAAGGTAAATCAAAAGGCTTTTTATTAGCATCATAGTAGCAGAATTGTGAGATTAATTCTTTACACTCCTGGGCAGAATGACCTAAATCCTTCCACATTGTTGATGCTGCTATAGCAGTATTGCGAAATGCCTCATTACGAAGTCCCAAACCTAAATAAAAAAATTTAATATTGTACTATAATATAATATAAAAAAATGTACAGGAAGGTCTCAAAATTCCAGATCAGAATGCATCAGAATCCAGAGCAAATGTGCTGAAATTGATTAATTTTGTCTAAGATCACTAAAAATTTTACTAATAAAGTCATAACCTATTCATAAATAAAAATGTCTAGCTGATAATTTTGTTATAGACTATATTGGCTAATATTGCTTAATGCTGGCCCAGTTCCGATGCATTCCAATCTGGAATTTTAGTAAAAAATTAAAAAAAATTTAATTATGCAGTATAACAATAATCATACCACGGTAAAGCGGATGGAGATAGTAACTTAAAAGATATAAGGGATGCTGAAATTCTGTATAACGTCGATTAAACACTTGGATGGCAGAAGGTTTAAACAGGTTGGATTCAGGAATTTGGTAAATTGCGACAGCTAACTTTATCATGTTTATATAGCAGTCAGCTAAATTTGCCAAACCTGCTTCTAAAACATTAATGCAGGCTTTTATTGGCTTCCATATCGATCGAATTTGCCGACATGTAATAAAAAAATCTTCACTGCCTAATAAGTTAAAGACTTCTGTATTCGTAATTACACGTGAATGTTCAAGTAAAATCTATTACAAATGTCAATATAAATAAAAAATCAAAAATGATAATGATAAAAAGAAAAAAAAAA